CTGACCTATCCCCTTCCTAACTCCCCACCTACACTCACCTTTCCTGGTCCCATCCCCGCCTCTTCGACCTGTTTGTTTCTTCTCCACCTATCCTCTCCTCTATCCCTCTTCTATCCGCCTCCCACTCTCTCCCTATTTATTTCAAAACCCCCTTCCCCTCCCCCTTTTCTGATGAAGGGTCTAGGCCCGAAACGTCAGCCTCTCTGCTCCTATGATGCTGCTTGGCCTGCTGTGTTCATCCAGCCCTGCACCTTGTTGTCTCATCTTCTCACTCTTGGTTCTTTCCATCTTTAACTGAATCATTTCACTGTCTTTACCTTTTACAACTTGTGAATTCTTTCTGATTGGAGGCAACTAAGGTTTCTGAAAGCTGCGCTTTCTTGCCTTGGTAATTTTGGAATTTTGTACAACTTTGTGTTGTTTCTCTTGAGTACTCAGATTTCAAAACCCTATGTAACCAAGTACCACTTCCTCTCCTGCTCTTTTAGCATATAAATGGGAGGAATGTGTGCATGTGAATATAGAGGTGTGTGTGTGCCTTTCTGAATAATTCTCTCCATTGATCTAAACTTTTGCATAAACGTATGACAAGAATCTGTGACCATTCAATATTGAAGATAGAAATGTGCATTAGTATCTTCTGATGATTGTAAACTCCTAAATCAATCCATCTCTTTTCCTTATCCCAAACTGATTTTTGCGATATATTTAAGGTCTCTGCTACAGATATAGATCTCTGAAATGTAGCCAAACACTCACTTTTGTGCAATCCTTTTTCTCTTTAGGATTCCTCTCTGTCTTTATGCTGAAAGCTGAAAAAAGATTCTTTCAGAGTTGTAATCTCAGGTACCTTTCCCCCAGTGTACGCTGCTCTGGTCACATATCCCATCTCCTTGATGAATGCTTGTTCCTTTTCTCCAGCCTCCAGCTAGGAAAGGATGGAATAGAGCGGGAGACACTCCTGCAATTCTGAGTGACAATCATTTGGTATCAAGAACATCTGGAAAGGCTGCAGAAAGCAGAGAGAAACAAGATTGTACTGTATTTTCTACTTATTAGTTAGTGATTTTTCAATATTTCCAGCTGGAATTTCTACATGAGATTTTAAAGTGACCAAATAATTAAGGTGTTTTCTGTTATTTGTGCCATTTTCTGTGTTGGAAAAGGGACAGTTTGTACGCTGGCAAATTAATAGCAGAAACCAAGATTAACACTATCCTGTGATGTTAAACCATGACCAGCCTCCCACAGAGGCACAGGTTAATTAAAACAGCAATGAGTTGCTGATCTAAGATTGCCTCTGTTCTCATCCCTTGTCTGTCTGAGTTTGCCAGTCTGAGCTAGGCTGGGGCCAATAGCGGAAAGTTTCGGGACCAAATAATGAGAGAGGGAGGGAGACAGAGAGAGAGAATGCAGTTAATTGGGACAGGACTTTAAAAGGGATTACATATACAAGATGGGCCAAATGCTGTCCTTCTGGGCTGTCAGATTTTATGATTTGGCCTCAGTACCTCTGAACTGGGGGCTAGGTTGAGAGGTTGGGGGGGACATCATCAAGGATCCCCCTTCTGTTCACTATCATGTGATGCTTTGCTTGATAATGTGTGAGATGAGATTACTTCCAGTCCCAATATTTTGGATTAACTGGAGCCTGATAACAAATCGGATCTAACAGAGGGGAAGAACATACATTTCTTTACTACCTTCCACATTCTCAGGATGCCATCAAAAAAAACGAGAATATTTCTGCAGTGTTGTTAATTTGCAGTCAATTTGCTTACAATAAGATTCCACGCCCAACAATGAAATATTGATTAAGCCATCTGTTTTAGTGGTGAGGAATAAAACATTGACCAAGAAACTAGATAGATCTCCCCTGTTCCTTTTGAATAGTGTAATGTGATCATTTTCATCTGCCTGAAAGAATAAGTATGGTTTTGGTTTAACAGTGCAGCACTCCCTCAGCACTGACTGCTTGCACTTTTATGCACAAGGTAGTAGGGAGAATTTGACAATTGCAGAGCCCCGTCCCATTTGATTGAAATTTTCAGTCTTTGCCAAGATGACGGAAGTGATCAGCATCAAAGTAAACCTGGGCAGGATGCCAGAGCTGAATGTAAAACCGGTGAAAATTCATTGTAAAGCCAACCAGCTCACACACACCGGATACAGTTCATTATCAGTTCTAAGGTGAGTGCAATGAGATTTCACAGTAATATCTTCTAACCTACCCAAATGCAATGTGAGAATCAAGAGCAACTGCAATCTTGTTGTGATTAAAATGACCAGGAGTTTATCTCTAATGCACTGTTGCAAATGGATGTTTGTTTCCTACAATGCAGCAGTGATAATGTATCAAGTTGTTATATAATGTAAAAGACAGTAAGGCTTGTCCTGTTCAGTCCAGCCCAGGCTGCTGGATTGTTGCTTTTGGGAATTCTCCAGAAAGATCGGAGACTGGAGTGAGAGAACCTTTTGGAGAGAAGTAATTGTGAAGCTGGTTTGATTCCACTTTCTTGATGCCTGCAGCAACAACACAACCGCTGCTGATCCAATCGTTATCTCACTTCTCATTGTGGGATGTTGCTGTGCCGAAATTGGCTATCACCTTTCCTACTTTACAATAGTGGTTACACTTCAGATGTTTTTCATTAGTTGCCAAACACTTTGGAATGTCTTGAAGTTCTGCACAGAATCACGGAATAGTTACAGCAGATAAGGAGGCCATTCAGCCCATTGTTTTTGCTGGCTTTCTGCAAGCAGAATTGACCTAGTGGCTCTCTCCTTTCTCTACCCAATAGCCCTAAATATTTTACTGTTCAGATAGCATTCAATTCTGAATGAATCACTTCGATTGTACCTGCTTCTAATATAGTCTCTGGCAGCACGTGCCAAATGTTGTTACTTGCTGTGGGAAAATATTTTCTTCATGTCAGCATTGGTGGCCTGTGGTTCTCAAACCTTCCACTGCTGGAAACAGTTTGCCCATTTCCACAGTGCCACTTTGTTAAATTTGCTTATTTTCACTTCTTGTACTTCTAATTTGGACAGTCTTCTCTCAGTTGGAGGAATTGGGAGATCTGGAAAATTTTCTATGGTACTTTCCCCTCGTAAATTATTTTAAATACAGCCGTTCACCTTGTTTAAATATAGAAGTGTCTGCTTTTCCGGTATCATGCCAGCAAGAGGGGCTGCTTCTGTCTCTGTTACCAATAATCACTAACTCTTACCTTCTCACACTTTCTTTCTCTGGAGCCAGGCCAACCAAATCTTTCCACCAAATGTATTCCCACTTGCCTCCCTCACCACCTTTTAGTTTCTCTTTCAGATCTCCTAATTCCTCCAATCTGGTCATTATTTCAATAAGCTTTTTCCTTTGTGATCCAAACAGCCCAGCTATATCTTCTTGCATGTCTTTGTTCTGTTCAAATTTGAGACCAAATACACTGTCCGACTGTTTCCCAGCATTGTAAAGCTGTGGAACAACTCCTTTCCCTCAGGTTTTCTTCCTACTATGACTTATAAGGTTTGGAATTAAAATGTTATCATTACCTTCCCCCTATCTTCCAACCTGAATTCCTGTCTCTTTGGTCTTTTGAACTTGGAGTTTGACCTTTTCTCTTAGGGTTTGTCAATTATATACGTATTATTATAATATATAAGATGCTTGGTTGGTTCAATGCCTCCTCTGACCTACTCTCTGCATTTTAAAAAAATATGCTTGTCCATGGGATGTAGGCATCACATTTTTTGCCCGTCCCTAATTGTCCTGAACAAATTGATGGTGAGTTGACTTCTTGAACCCTTGCAGCCCATGCGCTGTTTAGGAACGAGTTCCAGGATTTTTGACCCAGAAACAGTGAAGGAATGGTGATATGTTTCCAAGTCATGATGGAGGCATCATTTCAAATGATGCTTTTGTGGCAGGAATGTATTTGTGCCTCAAAAGATCACCACATTCTCCAAGTCCACATACCATCAAATGAAAGACCATAAGACGTGGCGTGGACTTCCTGCCATTTTGGAAATATCACCTGATCCTAGCTCACTCCTCTCTACACATTCTTGTCAAGTATTTTCTTTTTGAAATACTTATGTAATTGTATTTTGAAAGCGACTACGAAGATGGGTCAAAATCCTGAAACTCCCTCCCAAGTGAAACTGCATCTACCGCCCTTTCAAGCAGCAGATTTCAGACCAGCCAAACTGAATTTCTCCTCATCTCCTCTCTGGTTCTTCTGTCAATAATTTTAAAAGCTACTCTCACTGATATCCAGGAGAATGAGTACTGGCTCTGATATATCTCACAACTAAAGATTCAACAAAGATTGAGAAATACCAAAAAGAAGCCCCTCAAAATGAATGAAAAACTAGGAAAGTGTATCATGTAAGAAAAATGGAGTTCAATTTAATAGGCAATTCCACTTTTTAAAAATCTGCTTAATACTTGGAAATAAATTGTGATGACTGTGCGCATTTGTTGGTGTCAGCAGAATATTGGATTTTCAATCGTTGCCCTCTGGATACTGACCCTCCTGCTAGTGTGCACAGTTTCATCCCTAGTCATTTCTGTCTAAAACACTCATAACGTGGAACCTTTGATGAAGGATTTCAATGGGGGCGGCGGGGAATGGTGTAGTGATGATATAACGTTTCTGGTAATGCAGAGGCCCAAGCTCTGGCAGCACAGGTTCAAATCCCATTGTGTCAGGTGGTGGAATTTCCATCTGAAATTAGAATGTGGTCTAATGGTTAGCATGAAACTGCTGTTGATTGTCGTATTTATTAAAAAAAAATCTGGTACTTTCATGGTCTTTCGAGAAGAAAATCTACCATCCCTGAATTAGCCTGGAGCCAGTGCAATGTGCTTGACCCTTATGTGTTGTCTGAAATGACCCAAGCAGGTCACTCCGGTCAAGGTCACGAAAGAATAAAGAATGTATTTAATCTGCTCTTCACCATCTCTATTCAAAGGGATAGAGTGCTGGTTCTGAAAGAATCCAAGTTCAAGGTGCTAATCAATAGTCATTGAATTGGGGTATGAGTTGCATGACTTGAAAAAATATCATTTTTCAAAAGAAACATATAATTTTTTATGACTTCAAGTTCTGCCAAAGTGCATTACAGCCTCAAACATAGCCGTTGTTGTAACTTAGGAATCAAGGCAACTAATTTGAGTGCAGCCAGATTCCACAAACCACAATGTTACCATCACCATGTAGTCTTGTCACAATGATGGTTAATGGATAAATACTGGCCCAAGACATTGGGAAAGACTCCCCTGTTTTTCTTCGTAGTGCCTTGGAATCATTTGCAGCCACCCAAGAAGGCAGACATGTTGAACGGAGTCATGTCATTCACGAAGATATGTGCCTCTGACATTGCAGTACTTTCTCGCCACTGGAAAAAGTTTTACACTCAACTCTCTGGATGGGGACTCGAACCACCAACCTACCAACTTGAAGAAAGATGTGCTATCCAATCAGCCAGGCTACCACCTCAGAACACTGAATGAGCTTGAAATAGGGATGTGCTGATGAATTCCACCCGTATTGCTGAGCTGCATTTCTCTCGCCTATACTGCGAGCGCACATGCAACACTTAACGTCGTTTTGGCCTTTGTATTTGTTTCTTCTTCCAATTTTAATTTCTACTATGCAAGTGTTCTATTGGGCATTTGATGATATGATTTTCATATTTTGCAGACTTTGTTAATTAGGCTTAAATTCTTTAAGTGCGTAAACTCTGTGACCTAACTATAAATAAAATCTTACAGTATTGAGACATCATCTGAGCATTTCTGTATTATTACTGGGATGTCAAAGCAGTGTGTTTCTGTGTCTGTGTAATTTTCATGCTGTGTCCTCTTGAAGTTTGCCAAAAATAACAGGCGGGCAAATAAATTATACTCCTACCCTCCCTAGCATGTCTGTAAAATCACTAAGCTGAATCACACTAGGATGCTGCAAGATGTATCACTCTATCACCTTGAGGTTAAGTGTACATGGAGATGAGGTTTCTGGCCTAGGAACACTGGGGTACAGTACTGGTGAGGACAGGTCTGTCACTGTATAACACTGTGGTGCAGTACTGGTGGGGACAGGTCTGTCACTGTATAACACTGGGGTACAGTATGGGTGGAGACAGGCCTGTCACTGTATAACACTGGGGTACAGTACGAGTGGGGACAGGTCTGTCACTCTATAACACTTGGGTACAGTACTGGTGGGGACAGGTCGGTCACTGTATAACACTGGGGTACAGTGCTGGTGGGGACAGGTTTGTCACTGTATAACACTGGTGTACAGTACTGGGAGGGACAGATCTGTTGCTGTATAACACTGGGGTACAGTACGGGTGGGGACAGGTCTGTCACTGTATAACACTGGGGTACAAATACTGGTGGGGACAGGTCTGTTACTGTATAACACTGGGGTACAGTATGGGTGTGGACAGGTCTGTTACTGTATAACACTGGGGTACAGTACGGATGGGGACAGGTCTGTCACTGTATGAGACTGTCACTGTACAAGTCTAGGCTGGACAGAAGATTGAAGATGCAATATTTGCGGAATTTTGAAGTATATTTGTGTTTGTTTCCATGTATTGCTACCAAATGACACTCTACACCAAATATCATTGTGTTCGAAAGAAGATGACAGTGTGTGAACAAGGTTTGGAATGGGATATTGTATCTTGTGTAGATTTGCTGCAGAAACTTTGCTGGCTGTCTGAGCCAGTCGAGGCTATGATGATGTGGCTTTGCATCAGGTCTAATGAGGTGCTGTTGCATTTTAGTGATCTTCAGAACATTTGTTTTTCAATTTCTCACTGAGATGAATCATTCAGAAAGATTTTGGGTTGGTGAAGTTTCAGTTTGAGAGGATTAAGTCACTGTTCAATGTTGTCAAGATGCTCATGGGTGTCCTGTGATTTAAGGACTTTCCCTGGAGAAATTATAACAGCGAATGATAAAAGATGATGTAATTGGGTTACTGAAATACATTTCATCACTTTTCTATCTAAAGTGAACATTTGGTGTGGCAAACTGTACCTTTTCTAATAGATTATTATTAAGAAGGGCTTAAATAAATAAAATCAATTCCGTGCCTTTTCTCAAGTTATTGTGTGGAGATTTTGAAGTCTTGTTTGTGTTTTCTAGTCATATTATATAAGGTGTATACTGCCCC